GCTGTTGTGCTTTAGTTAAGGACTGATTGCTGGCTATCGTAGCTATTAACGTATAAATATATTGGGTCTACTTTGACTTTGTTATTCTAATTTAATTTTAATTGCCTTACTGCTGTTTCAATGCATCTTGCTAAACCACAAAGAAATATAATATCAACCATGTTGTATCGGTACGATAACTTCTGTTAAAATTCTTAGCAAAGACTTTTTATCGATGATTGGAGTTAATTTTTATCTCTTGAAAATACCATATGCAAATACTATTTCTTGTCGACGTGTTTTATCTAACTCATTATTTAATAAATTCAGTAATGAAAGTCTCCCGAAATGATTTACTTATTGATATGACGGTTAAGATATTTTCTTAAAATTTACGAATATTTATAGACATCCACTGCTTAATAGCAATTTTCTTAGTAATAATGGAGACTTTTAGACCTCACTATTTAGTTCTCCAATGAATGAATTACTCCTCAATCTAACATTTCAACGCTTTTGTACATTATCGCTCATAGTTTGGATGCTATGCTTTCGTTGTCACCATATTTTTATTTTAATACATGACATATCATGCCAATACGTAATTTAATTCTCTATTTTAACTCGCATTGATCGTAGAGCTAGTGGAAGTGCTGCTTTATTACTCTAGATAATACAATACGCGTATTTCGTTTCCCTAGATGCAAACAACTGTAACATTACTGTATAATTCCAGGGTAAATCTTGATGCCAAAAGATACGGTTAAGATTGTCTTGTGATACTAGTACTGAACCTCCTCGATCCAATTATTTTTTACAGATTCATTTCCAAAATTTATATCAGCCCAGCTGAATGATCAAATTGATTAACTTTTGATACCGAGCATATTTTAAAATTGCGAAGTATTTGCCACAATAATTTCCTGAATTATTGCATCTAACTTTATTACACACTGAAATATTAGAAATTACTTAATTCAAGTACGGTATTCATACTCATTTATAGATTTCACTAATATTACAATTATCGACTTTCATCGAGCGTGATTGCAGAGTACAGTATGTAGACATTCCGTATTTAAAGCAGGATCAAAAAATTTATTGACTAATGCATTAAAATAAGACATGTTGAATAAATGTGAGAACTGCCGTTGATAGGTAGTAATGGAAATTATATGACAATGTGAAGCAGTAATGAAGTGACGATAGATTATATTAATGCCTGCTTAATGATTAACTATGATTGGTTAATAGTTTGTTATATTGGAATATTGTTACGTAACCTTTATACTTTAGGCTTACATGAGTTAGTATGAGAGACTCAAAGATTTATATTGGAAAACCGCGCAGAGCCAATTTTGTATGAAATTTGAAAAGATAGATGCTAGTTAGAGATATCTTAAGGCAGTCGCCTGCCACATATTTTACTGCTTCTGTTGCATTTAGATCTACTCGCGAACCTTTTAATTAATACATGCAATAAGTAAAACTATTACCCGAATCTATTAATTAAAGTTAATTTTGGAATAACAATAGTAGGTCTAATAGTAGGGATTATTACAGTGATCAATCTACGAAATCGAATCTATGTATCTGATTTAAAAATTACTTCAGCGATATTCATAGTGATAAAATAGAGACAGCTGCTATTCCAGTTCATTGTGAACCAATACAGACAGCGATAGATATCACTTGCTGTTGCTAAGAGCTCTAGATATAGAGCAGCTGAATATTACGACATAGCACGACGATAGCAGTTGTTGGTGAGTTCTTGTAGTCATAGATTAGGGAATAAATTTTAAATGTTAAAAAGTAACATTTTTTATAAATTTATTTTTAATAAAGAGATAAAACTGTAGATTTATAATTCATGTTGTAATCTTCTTTTAAATACAAATATCTTTTAATAGGATAATACAAAAAAGTATTGATGGTGCACCTTATTAAATCTAGGGGGTATTAATTTCCCTAGTACGATAGATAATACACCAGGTTTAGTTAATCGATCTACAGTTCATGAAATATACTGTAAGTTATTGAATGAAGAGAGACTTAGCTAGGTTTGATTTCTCAGTAGTTCAAAATTCCAATAAATAAAGAAAGTATAAGTTGTTGTTTGAAGAAATGAAAAATAAACAGTGATTAACAAAATACTTATAAAAATTACCTACAACTAAGGTATTTATCTTCAGTTCCTACGTGCTAGCTAATTTGCCAACTAAGTACCAAAACTTTAATTACTCATTTTTAAATGAAATTATCATTAGATTAATTGGTAAATTTACACGGATGTGTACCTTCTCTAATTGGATTAGCCATAATTTATTTTTATTTTATTTTACAATTGCATGGAACAGCTCTTTGATGAGTTTAAAATTTAACTTACCAAAATTAATTTTCCAATTTAATGCTACATCTAGCCTGATTTGATTAAGCAACGATATTTGCTTTGCGGCATCTTTGGCGTTTAGCTTCAATTCTGATCTTAGCGATTGTAATTCGTCTAATCCGCTTCCCATTATGGCGTTGCAAAATATATAATAGTCGACGTCGTCAGTCCTATTGAGCATTTCCCATAATGCAATATTTCATTCACTTTTTAGTTGCAAGGCATCAATTTCTTTAATTTTTTGCGCTTAAAATTCCTTTCGAGTATAATTGTTGTTTTATTTTGTCATATGGATTACAGATTAAAAATTCTTGACGATAAAACTTTAATTTATTTTGCTGCACTTCACAAAATGGTAGAGGGCTTGATAAAATTTGCACCAGAAATAGAAAATAATCGATTAATGAGAGAATTTTTGAAATACAACTAGCGTACATGTTACAGATGAATCTTGTTTAGAACTAAATTATAGTTTTAAGATGTAATTGATACTGGTTATAAATTTAAATCTAGAAATATCCAAACGTTGTTAGCTGACGGTTACAGGGTTAAACTGGAGGTAGATTGCATTTTAAATAGAGCTGAGCTTCTACATTTACGTAATCGTTGAAATAGCAACGAACGTTAGATCAACTTGGCGACTACAGATTAATTTAATTTTCTTTGCAGTACGGTAGCAAGTGCGGGGAGTTGGTGTCGGAATATTGCTCATTTTGTTGCAGTAAATATATCATGATCATTTGTTATCATAAAGTCTGGTAATTATATCAGCAACTTTACAAATACTTATAAGAAATTGTATCAGTACTGGCATTAAAAATTATCTTGAAGATGCCATAGAATCGAGAGGTAATTACTCAAGAATAGAGCAACGATGTAGACATTTTATAGCCACGAATTAACCTTTAGAAAGTTAGTACAAACTGTAATTGCTTTTAGATGAAAAAATAGCACCACGTAGATGTAAAAGATATATTTTTGTAATTAAAAACATCTTTGATTTTGCTGATATGCAGCTATTGCCTTTAGAAAATTTTCGAAAACAATGCGATTTATACAGATTTACAGGATGTGTCTTTACGATCAAACTTAATTCAACGGATTTGTTTCTTTAATACAGTCAATAAGTCATTTTGCGAATACAAATATGTTCGCTTCAGAAAATGAACTCACCATCTTCATATGTTAACCATTTACGTGGCCTATCGTAGCCATCTTCAGAACTGGAATGATTTCTTTTTCTTTTATTGTCAAAAGTTGAAGATGGCGACGCAATAAGCGCATGGGAGCCAAGTTTCGAACTATTCCTGCAGTTAGAATCATCTACAGTAGATCGATATCCGCCTTCATCTCCTAAAGAAAAATAATATGAAATGATCACGATATTTAGATTTTAATGGTAGACATGGGTTGATACGATTTGAATGCACTTAAACGAAAAAAATACTCATGTATGTGATATAAACTTAGTATTCGCAATTCAGGTAAAGTGTACTAAAGTTGAAATGAAGAAGTTTCTAATACTACTAGTGCAAACTCCCGTCGCTTTGCTGACGGTTTACGATAATGTGCTCATTTAACAGATAGTATTACCATTTGATAGACCTGTCGGTTCAGGACTATTATCATTCAATTCCTTGGATTTCGCTATTACCATTGGTGTTACATCTTTCATAATCACAGGCAAGTAAAAAGCTACTATTATTTTTAGTATAGTTATGGTAAACTGATAATAAATCTAATATAATATCAAAGCATGCTTATTTTTCCTTAAAAGCAAATTGGGCAGCAAACTATGTATATATATATACACGGAAATTACCGTCAAAATTATTTTCGAAAGAATCATGTCCTTTTCCTGCTGTTTGAAAATTATACAAAGAAGTAATCAACTTAATCACAAACTAAATGATTAGTACGACAAAATTGGTTTACAATTTCAAAAACACTATGATGTTAATAGCTGGAGAATAGCCCTGCGTAGCTAAATATCGGAGTGTACATTGTAAATTGTCGATCAACTATTTAGTTATATTTAGCAAAGCGTTATTACTGACTGACTGTAAACCGTACCGGTAATGCTTGGAGATACTGTACTTCGCTAGATTATCGATGTTCAAAAGTAGCAGAGTACTGATCTACAGTACTCTATATATCTATTAATGATAGAGATAAATATAGGCGACTAGTTCACATATTGACTAATTAATAAATAGTCACGGCAGTCTGTTGTACCGTAGGTAGAGAATAATAATAATTGCAGAATTACAGTAGATGTTACCGAGACAGTAATTTCGCAGAAGTTTATATAGCTGATTATAGTAATTTAGTCTTAAAATTCTGGCTAGAATGGAATATCACTGTGCAGGTTGTTGCTATAAAAAGTTTATGAGTTTACAATTTTAGATGATTTGGTAGTGCTTTCTAAGATTTTCTAGATATTATATTTTATTTATTACTGCAAACTCAAAAATATGTCTGTGTACTGCCTCACTACTGAGTATCCTCAATCAATAGTTTTAAAACTCTTATTCGCACAGCATAGTGTACGAATTTGGCTAGTTTATGTTATACACGCGTAAAAAGTTTGTTTGATAATTATCGTGCAACTAACTCTTAACTCACTAAAAAGCTACAATGGTTCAGTACCTAAAATATCGTCTAATTTCCAATCTTCTATTGTCGCAGGTGGAAAAGAATAAATACAGCTTGAGCACTTAATATATCTTTCTACAATCTGATTTGGACAAATGGTAACTCCATGGCATTCGGGACACTTAATATAATAATCACACTTAGCATCCTGCCAGCCGGAAATTTGATTTTCGACTACATTCAGCAACGCACTTCTAAATTTGACATGAGGTTGATCTTCAAGGATTGATTTTAATGCTTTTGCTTTAAACCAATTGTGCCCATAGTCATGGTTATTATCGGATTGGTAATAGTACTGCAGACCAATGTAAGAATTATTCTTTACAATAATTATTGTATAATTTCTATGTTCTGGTAAAAATTTGGCATAGTTTTGGTATATGACAACTTTCCATGGTAGCTGAATAGATGATAACAGCTTGTAAAAAATGCAATCAGTAATATAAGGTACTTTTTCTTGGCTGCAACTCAAATATAGCCAGCTAGAATAAGACAATTCGCTAGAAGAATTTTTTGATTCTGACTTGTAGGGTGACAGTAAATTAGGAATAAAGTAGTAATCATCATGTTTAGCCGAAATTTCATCTGAAATTCCTCGAAACTGATAAATAATATTGCTTAGCTCCATGGCATGCAATACTTCGTTAATATCCGCGTTGCTCAGTTGATATTCGCTTGCTGCATATTTAATTGAAGCTTTGGATACAATGCCAGCCTTACTTGCTAATTCATAATAGCTTCTATGCTCACCAGAATTCGGAAGAATTGCATTTTTATCCCCTAATGATAGAATTGCATCGAGGAATCTTATGAAAAAACTAAAATTGACTATTAGCGCGTCATGATAGTTCTTATTTGTAGGACAAAATAGCAGATCACCTATGCTGTGTAAGTATTTGAATAAATTCCCAAATTTCATAACTCCAGAATTGTGAATATCAAACATTTCCGCCAAAGTCGCTTTGTGTTTAATAGGTTTGATTTGCACAGTGCCCATTTTTTTATCATCAATCTTTGACATACTGCGTAATACGGCTGATCCGATATCAATCAAACTAGTATTTGCGTTTGCATTTATCACAATGGAAGGTATTACTTGAATAAAACCTGCAAGAAGGGTGCATAACTCCTTTAAATTATGGTCATTGTGAAGCGGTAGCGAACCGTTGTCATCATTAGCACTTGGAGACCATTCCATTACTAATTTTGGACAAAACAAATTTGCTCTATAAGAAGATAATCTTCGGTCTAATATCTTTATAAATTTATTCCGTCTTTCAAATTGCTCAATTTTATCTAGTTTATCGCCATGGTAGGTAGGAATTATTAGAATTAACGGTAAAGCAAATTTTTCACTTCGTCCGTCGAAATTAGCAGGAAAGCGCTTCAATTTATAAGTGGGTTCAATAACATTGATTATCCAGTCCTGTATAGATGTAATATATCTACTACCAGGATCGTTTAGATTGCTTTCAACCGCTTCACTTAGGTCGATATTGACATCAAATGTTATTATATAGATGTTAGAGTGGAACTTGAAAGGCTGATAATAAATCGCGTCATGGAAATTCCATATTTTAGCATAAAAGCTAGTACCGTGTTCATTGGATCTAGTTTGTTGCAATAATTGACTTGAGTCTACCACCGTACTGCCATTCGAGTACCTGTTGCCGTTTGTTTTATTAGATCTATACGAAATATTTTTAACCGTTAATGGAGCACTGCTGGCATAGTGTGGTTGTATATTTGCAGCATCATCTGTAGTTTTACTTTGTCTTATGAGCTTATTTACATCAACAATGGCGGGATCAGGATTGGCATTACTGGTATGGGCTCGCCCAGTTAGTAATTTGAATATATAAGATTTGCCTTGACATTTCGATCCAATTAACATTATGTTAACAAAACGGATACAACAGTCATTGTTCTCAAAATCATTTCCATGGGATGGCATAGTTATTTCTGGTAATTGGCGCAACCGTAGAAAGAATTTAAAAATAATAATTAGAAAAATTGAATTGCTCATGATCTAAAATATCTTAGAGAACGTTCCAGATGTGATTATGATAGCAATCTGATAAATTAGTGAATGGAATTTAAGAAGAATTAGCAATTACCAATTTAAAACATCTGACAATGGTGCTACAGTTTAATATAGTAGACATCGATACAAAACTGCTTTAGAATATTATGCTATAATTGCTTGCTAATAAATTTATACCGTACAAAGCAGCAGTAGGAGTAAATTGCAGTGCCATTGATGTAATATTTGGGCACATAATTTGATAATTGAAACTGAGAAAATTACAGGACGATCTTCGGTGCTAAATAAAGGAATTACAACAGATTCTATCAAATGTACCGTATTAATTCCATAATTGGAGCGTACACTACTGATACTTTAAAATTAAAACGTTTACTAGACAAATGGTTTATAAATGCAAACTACTAAATGTTCAACGCTACATCACTTCAAGCTTACCAGAAGGCTATAAGACTAATACATAGACGATGCGATATTGTGGAAGTTATTTAAGCACATTCTTGCATGAGTATAATGGGATCTTGTATCATTTCTATTACTTATTTATTAACCAAGTTTTTACACGAAGTCTCTGAATCATATTACGGTAGTGAAAAACATCAAGGCATAAATTCTTATATTAACTCTAACTCGAATTGAGCATAACCTTCTTTGCCATTAAAATCTTACCGATTTCAATTTCCTTCTGTATGGAGCTATTCTTATTCCTCTCTACCAAATCTAGCCAAATACAAATTTTACAATATTAGCAGATCAATCGGGAAATTTTTTTAGATATCAATAGATTCCTCTTAGCAATTAAGCATAATAAGAATTTACTTAACTTTTTAATTGGAAGTTATGCTAATAAATAGATCATATGATAGTAAATTTAGTTTGATCTTTAGGCTTAATTTGCAAATTAGCTTATCGTAATTATAATCCTGAAATCGATCGTATAGTAATAGATGAATGACTAAAGGCATCTCTATCTTCAATGATCTATCTACGATTTAACAGAACCTGAGACGTGATAGACCTTGGTGTTGTTGAATGAATTAGATATTAAGTAATAAAATAAAATTTTTCCAAGTGATTCTAGTGTTGCTTTAATACCTTGAAGGAAATCTATCGCACCTTTATAATATCAATTGAAAGTATACTAATATTACTTCTATGTTTCATCTAATTAAGTATGGTGATACTAATTTTACTTAATTTAGTGGTATAGTTGCATTTCAGAAGCATTCTGATATGGTATCAATCAAATGCTTACTCAGGTGTATTTTATACCATCGGGGTAAATTTTTCATGTAAATTAACTGACTTTTCCAACTACCATTAACCATTTAGTCTAGCAATAATCTGTATTTCTGTGATCAATTAAAGACGATTACATTAAACAGTAATCTTTATTCCAGTACCTGGTGATGAAAGTATTAACTCGGGTGGACTTTTGTGATAATTTGTGCCAATTTTAGTCCTGAAGAAATGTTCCAATGTGCTGTAAACTTTTTCTTCTAACTTTTTTAAATCTCCATTATTTTTTGTATTTGGAGTATCATTTTCTTTTATTGCTTTCTCATAATTCCATAATGCACGGACATAGTCCGTGGGTAGCTCATGGATTTCATTGATAAGAATATAAATTTTAGCTTTATTGGCGGGTGTTTTTGTTGCATTCAAATACTTTAAGTAGAATTGTTTAGCTTCACGATAACGCTTTAGTAGTTCTAAGATTGACCCAAAATCTTTAAGTAGACCAAAATTAATGATACTTTCATGCATAATCAGGTTTTCGATTATTTCTTTAGCTTTATAATAATAATTATAAGCATTTTGAAAATCCTTGAGTAAAAGGTAAATTTTTCCAATTTCATAGTTTGACTTAAAATGGCCTAAACTTATTTTATATTTTTGTTTCTGCCGAATATTCAGTGACTTGATATGCAGCCTTAATGCTTCATTAAAGTTTTGGCAATGCTTATTTAGGTTTCCTTCTTGGTAGTACCTTTCAATATTGACCTCTTCATCATCTAAGAATTTTTTTCTAATTGCTGTAGATGCCCCTAGTTGTTGTCTAGCTGCCTCAAAATTGCCCTGTAACATATATACTTTTGCAATGCTATCGAAAATTTCTGTAATTAGCCTATCTTTATCACTGAAATCACCATGTAAAATTTCTTTTGCTTTATTATAATAATTTAATGCGATATCCATTTCATTCCTCGTAAAATGGAATTTTCCAATCCCTAGCAAAGATTTACTCTGTTCGATCGTATGCTTATAGCTAAATTTTTCTTGAGAGAAACTTTTTCTAGCTTCATCATAGTAATATCGAGAGGAATCATAATCACATTTTTTAAAATATATTTCTCCCAAAATGTTGTTTAACTTCACCTTCAATATTTTGCTGCTTGTATTTGTTACATTCTTGAAATACAATAATTTTTTATAGTAGTCTTTAGCGTTATCTAAACGATCAGATTCAAAATAAACTTTAGATAAGTATTCAATTGAAGCAACTCTACGCCAGTTGTTGGAATGAAACAATTTACGTTTCAAATGTTCGGACTTTGAATAATATTTTATTGCTTGCACGTAGTCACTCCATAAATAAAAGATAGTACCAATCGTGTCGTTCAGCAACGCCGTTTTTTCAGTATTACTGGTATTTATATGTTTCTTTTTAGAATACTCTAGCGTTTCTATAACGGCATTTAATGCAGCTTTGTATTGCTTTTGTCCATCACCGAGTAGCCTGTAACACTCAGAACGTGATAAAGGTTTATCCTTACTATCCCAATAGCTTTTTAGTTGAACTTTTAACGAATTTATGAGAGCGCTTTCAGCTTCATCCAGTTTATGCTGCCTAATATATAAGTCAGCCATATCGTTCAGGATTTTAGCCTTCAATAGACTTGAGTTTGCTTGATCTAGGGATGTCATTGCCTTTTCGAAATTGAACAAACTTTCTTCATACTGTTCTTGCTCCATGAAAATTTTGCCCAGTATATGGTGAGATTCAGCAATTTGTTCGATTGTGTCTCTTCCTGTAGCTTTTAATAGAGCTCTATTACAATATTGCATAGCTCCTTCAAAATTGAGCTGCTGATATTTAGACTTTGCCAGGCCCATATATATCTTCCATTTGTTGAGGATAAATTCGTTATCATCGCCCTCATTGGAAGACTTATTAATAATTTTGTACGCCTCTGTATATTTAGAGAAAGCTTCAGTATACTTTCCTTGATCAAAAAAAGTATTTCCTTCCAGAAGGAAAGATTTCCAGTCTCTATCATGCGGTGTGAAAGTATTCTCTACAACGGATTTATTTTGCAAGAATTCCATTTCAATAATGATATTATTAGCAACTTGTTAAATGGTCGGTCGTAGATAACAAATAGTTTCGGCAAGTTTGCTTCACACAATATTAGTGACCTTGCTTATATAGATTTTGAATGATCTTCAATATTGACTTTTAATTAATATTACGCTATTGAAATGGCAATGTACTCAATTAACTGTTGAGATTCAAAATTATTTCAATAGAATAGATAAGCATTAGTAGCTTAGCAACGCAACCTTAGGCTTCCTGCTATTCGCCTTATAACCGATAGAAAGTATTATTTACATGAATTATCATCCTAAAACTTCTCCGCTTTTATTTACATTAATAATTCAATAGACCAAGCACACCAATTTGTTTAATTATTTACATTATTTACAAGCACTCTATGCGACAGTATCGATTCTTGTAACCACTAGTACACGCCTACCCGTTTCCGCTTTATTGTAGCTGCATCAAACCTTTCGCAAATCATGATTTCATAAAGGCTGTTGATGATATTATCAAATGTTGTAATGACTGCTACCTTTTCAACTGTCTATTTCTTTTAAAAAATTTTAATCAAAAAGTTACGATTAGAGTATCTCCAAATATCACAACTAGCTCGGCAGGTCTAGATATTTGCTGATCCTTACACGTTATAGGCAAACTTCGAAGTAGACGTGGAATAAGGAATCTTACAAGAAGAAACGGCCTGTGTATCAAGGATTGTTAAGGAAGAGCGTATAATAAATACGTGGATAAACATATTTAAAAAGTACACAATACAGGAGTAACTCGTTTTGGAGAAAAGCCTGTAATAAAGGTTGATTTTTAGAATTCTCTTTCAAGTTTTCATTTTTTAAAACGCATTACACGTAGCTTTTAAAAGTAGTTTAATTTGGTTTAATTATATTAGAACTTTTCTTAGTGTCCTAGCATATTGTATATTCGACTATTTAATGTAGGTTAAAATTTGGCAACATTTTGTAACATAATTTTGTTAAGAATTATACAAGTGAGATTATAAAAGAAGTAGTATATTTAGCTAGTATAGTATTCATGCTGTAATTCTGATAAACTGGCAACTCATTTTGGATATAAAACGCTTAGAAGTTACGTTCCTTGTGATAAATTACTGTGTGAATCCGATAGTTTTGGTCTAGGTTCTAATTTAAGCATGTTGGTCTGTCTTAGTGTTTTTTATAGTTGTATGCCATACTGTATACCGTAGAAGCATACAATTTGTAGTAAAGCTATGATCATTATTAAATGTGTAATATTGGGCAGGGGAGGGAAGGAATTCAGGAATCCAGGGCATAATTTATGTAATCAAATGTGCTTAATTGCTAATTTTTCAGAATACCATAGGTGATAATTTGATAGTCTGGTACCAGCAACTGTTCTATACAGTACGTAAAAGGTGGCACACGTTAGTTTAGTAATTAAGTGAAATCTAGAAAGTGGAGTAGGCGATCAAGATTAAGATTTTCCTGAAATGTTAATCTTTTAAAGAAATTTCGTGAAAAATGTTATCACAAATAATAAACTGATGCTTTTCCGAACTATGATTTGTGTTGTGCTTTAAAAGCTATTAGTTTCTAATAGTTTTTAAGTCCATCATTATAGCGAATCCATATTCTAGGCCCACCTTCTAAGTACTACTGCTGTTTTCCATAGGTTATTTGAAACGAATAAACTCTTTTTATCTTTTACATTTGGAGTCAACTTATGGAAAGATTGTCGTTAGTGTTATGACAGGAGTGTTGACAGTCAGTGACCTCACTTTCCACTGATGAATTCTAATACAGTTTGGCCCATTACCATTGCAGAGTATCGATATTGGCAAGGTTTATGTTTAACTACTGTTGAAGGCAGTTTCGGTGTTACATTTGTGTTTGTAATATCTCGGTGACATCATGGGTGAATTACTGAAACTTGAGGTTGCTAGCACTTATGCCAGCCAGATGATCCAGTTTATGCCCTAAATTACCTTTCAGATATTTTTATATTTTACCGGCATGAAAGCGGTGTTGAAGGTATTTTCGCGTGCATTATTCTGAATTCCAATAAATTTTACCTTTTTATATCAACTGAAGTTTCAAGAAAGATTCTATAACGGGTAATAAATTACTTTACATGGAGTATTACCGTAATTAATCTATATTATAATCTTGTTTTAGCTGATTAACTTCTGAAAGATGTACTCTTTAACGATTGTAAAATCATCCTTATCTATAGTAATAATTTGTATGAATTTTATACATATTAGAAATAACTTTAAATGGGTTCATTTGAGATGTTAAGACTCCTTATAATCACTATGTATCAAGTTTCATATTACTTTAATACTGAACAAAGCTTATGCTTGTTTAAAACTAAAACATGTTCCTGTATAACACGTTTTGACTTCGATGAATTTGTAAATATTGAAACGTGTATAAATTGTCATTTATTTAATATTTAAATTTCCTTATTCATTTTTTATCTTACGGTGTGAAATAAAGTAATATTTAAATCTAAATCTAAAATGCATAAAGACTTTTCTCTGATTTCACAATAGTATTAACATAATTATATTGGCACCTCTGTTAATTAAATTTTATTTATTGCTAGTCATTAGTATTGCATTTAGCAATTATCAACTTTCACAACTACCAACCGATTTTCTTGTCGAAGTTTACTGGATTTAAATAGATATCGTCCATGCTTTGAGATAAATCCAGTAACATCAGCATGATTAACATGATGAAAGTGTAATAATTATAATTGATATTTCAGCAAATACTCATTCATAAAACGTTATAATAATGATTTGCTATACAATTTTTGATATATAATGCTGTAACCACTTATTAATGCTTATGGCACTCTTTATAGGAATAGCAAATATTGCCTGATATGATTTTAGTAACATTGAGAAAAATGTGATCAAAATTTGACAATTAAATTCTGAATGATTTCGAATAGATAAAATCGGCGTCTTCATACTTACTTTGGTCGACATACATATTTCCTAGATCGTTTTATAACGTAGTAACATCGGGATGATAATCGCTTAAGACTAACTATCTAATTTTAAGAGGCTTCTTATGCATAGCAATAGCTTCATTATGCTTTCCCTGATGTCCATAGACAGCTCCCATGTTGTTATATAAAGTAGCAACATTGAGATGATTAGCTAAGACCAAGAACCAACTGCTAAATTTTGAGTGATTTCTTATATGCTATTATATAATGTAGCAATTTCGGGATGATTATGATCAAGGACTACCTATCTAATTTTGAGCGACTTCTCCAACTTAGAAATTGCTTCTTCATACTTGCTATGATTCCGTTATAATCGTACAACTTCCACGTTGTTGCACTCGTATAATGTGGCAAGATCAAGATGATCGTGATAAAGGTCTAACACTAGGATTTTAAGTAATTTCTGATACACAGAAATAGCCTCTTTATACTTGCCATGATCTAAATACACACTTATTAGATTGCTATATAATTTGGCAACATTGATATCATTATGGCAATCCAATTTTGAATGATTTTTTGTTCAAAGAAATAGCTTCTTCATGCTTACCCTGAGTATTATACACGGCCCCTATGCTGCTACTATATTATCGAACAGCATTACTAAGGTTGTAAACAAGAACTGATAATCCAATTTTGAACGACTTCTCATACATACAAATAGCTATTCATGCTGGCTCTGACAATAATTCACTTGTCCTATTTCTTCATGTGAGTTACTACAATCCGGATCTTCCTTACACAAGTACCTTAATTTATATTAATTGACTTGTTATAAATATTCAATGCCTCATTCCAATCCCATTGCACTCTTATAATGGCACTATATTTGTATAAACACTTGGCAATCGTCAATTCATCCTTCAGCTTTCACCTACTTTTAAAATAATAAGTAAGTTAATGTTGTCGTTATGGTCTAAACCGATACTGGTAAGGTTTCGTCGAAAAATTAGTAAATCTTAGAGTATTAAGCAACTTGAGCTGTAGTAAGCTATTAATTCAACAGTACTAATCTTATCTGTGCTTTACAGTTATAATAATAGTAAAGAAAGTAAATAGTTTTACTGAAAATCTAAATTGAATAAGAGTTCTGTTAGGAAATCAGGAAATGTATTACTAAATTACGCAGAAGTAAATTATTAATAAACATGAAATGATGACAATAGAGTTTTATACGCGTCATTTAAGCTAATACCCACCTATTAGGTATAATAATAATAAACTACTACATGATTTGAAAAATATTATTCTGTGCTACAAATTTGTAATGACATAAACTTGGAACTACTACAGAAAAACTAACACTATGGGTCTATTTCAGGTCATCCTGCCTAAAAATCTACCTACTGTATGATATGACTCTGATACCGACGATCTCCCATCATTAATGCAAGAAAATATGATTGCGAAACATATTATAAAACTTTTAGAATGACAACAGAGATGGTAACTAATTTTTTTATTCCTTAAAGCTTACTAAATTGAAATGAGCAATTAACTGACAACTTCTTATCTAGTAATTATATTGACTAATCATGGTAAAACCGCGATAATGTCTACGTTTAGCTTTGCTCATGATAAGTGATTGGAGATATTTAATCTGAAATCACTTTAATTATTTATCTTAGACGAAATTCTTCCGTTTAGTGAAAACGGGAGCGTGTATTGATTTGACGTACTATCACGGAATTTTTGGAGATTAAATTCTGATATTAAGGTTAATTACTAATTAGAATAATTTATTTGTGGAACGGTAGCTAAAGAATTTAGTTTATTGCTATAGTTGTTGTCACATATATTAGGCACACTCAATATCAAATGCGCACTTTGCTTTAGGTTACTGCATTAGATTTTAACTGAAATCAAATTTTCAATTGGAAATGTTGTGCACTGCAGTTATAATGATATGATCTGTGCTTCTGATGTACTGTCAAACTGTTATCTGTTATATCATAGATACTGTCAAACTGTTTGAAAGCATTATACAGTGTGTTAGCTAATAGTATTACTGAATTTACGTGATCCATATGCTTCTTATAATTGATTAACAATTTAAGCTATAAGAAACGCTAGTGCAAATTTTTGAATAAAAAAACTATAACATATTAATTCAGTACTTCCTATGTAACTATGAAAAATTCGTGCATATCTATTGTGTAGTGTTCGCACAAAATCTTCTATTCCAGTTTCTAAACCGATACCATTTATCAATGTCTTGAGTCGATTTTATTAATAATAAGGTAGCAAAGCAGGTGGGACAAGATACAGTGTATGGTATTTATTAAGGTACAGGATAAGAGGCAGTTCCATGGAATAGGATATACTGGCTGTAGGGGATAATTTAACAACAATACGGTGATTCTTGTGTTCGGACATATAAATAATTATTATATATATATATTAGTAAGGCTCATACTATTTCAGCTTCTTAGATAGTGCTATGACACAATAACCTATGATGAATCAGAGTATTTACGAATCTGAATGCATAATGGTCTGACTCTTGCAAATGACCTAAGTAGTAATTTATCCAATTTCTAGAATAAATACGGGGTATGATAAATAAATTAGATTTGCATAATTTTAAAGAAGGCAGTTAATCTATTATAAGATATGCTATCTTATTCGGAGGCTTATGTGCACTGTAGCGTAAGTGTAGCATAATATCTACTTCATTCTAATGCTTAAAACATTTAAATTTTATAAGGGTATCAATTAAGCTCGTATTTATAATCATAAAGGTGTATATATATTATTGTCTAACTGTAAATAATAGCTGAAGAGGATGAACAATAAAAACAAAAATTAATGGGCATCAATCTACGAAAAACTGGAAATGTGTACTTGGGAATGTTTAAAGTTCAGTATGTTTGCCACTTTCACTCTTTTCGTCTTTTTTGGCGTCTGATTCAAGTTGCTTATCCTCTTTCTTACTAGAATCTGTATCTTTGTCATTAGCTTTGTCTGAATCATCGTCTTTATTTTCGTCTTCTTTATCGGCAGGTATTTCACCCCAATAAGTTAAACAGTCTATAAATTAGCCGAATCAATAGGAAAATGAGCTGTGCTATCCAAATTGGCAAAACGATACAAAATTGATCATCTTTTCAAAGTTGTAAATAACTACCGTGTTGATCGGGTCTTAATGCCCTCATTCTACATAACCATTCCATTAGGTCTTCCTTTTGATAGTGTAAAAACCATTCCATCAATTCATCTTCGAACTCTTCTCTAAACGCATCACACTATTAACCCAACAAAAATTACGTTAGGAGGTAGTGCTATGAATTTAAAAAAGTTAGAGGCGGCGAAAAACATTAACAATGTGTAAGCTTGGGCTACGTGTGAAGGACTGAGGATATACATCGTTCAAAGCGACACGAATGCTATGTTGCTTTGGTTAGATCGAAGTTAAAATATATAGCAATCATGATAGGATTGTTGATGATTATATTGGCTAATAATTATTCATCGTTTAAATAAAGACAATTAGGCTATCCAAAAATAGATAAAGTTTACAATAATGGCGATAGAATTGCTGTTGGAATGTTGTAAATTTACGTTCAACAATTTTCCATTTATAGCATTACCTATCTACTTTCAGATAACCTTTTAAATTATCTATAAATGTTAATAGTATAAAGAGACCTTTCTCTTCATTTTCGATACTTCAGCTGGTATATCATCCCACATTTCATCAGGAACTCCTAGCTCAACTTTAACCCCTCTCTTTTTCAATCCAAATAGCGTATTCATAGTCGTTGATGTACCTATTTTTACAATCATTTATACTATTACTGTTTTTTCGCATTTACAGAAAGCCATAACCTGTACGTTATTACTGTAGCAAAGACTGTTAAAGAAATCGTGACGATTTGAAATCTTGTTATGTTATATCAATCTCCTCCTGTGCATAAGTACATCACTGAGGCTTGAGTTTAATATCTCTAATGGTAACAAGCTGATCTTTTCTATACACAAAATTACCTTTCAAATATCTTTCCTTTTTATCCGCATGAACACGGTATTTTAAGATATTTTCGCATGCATTGTCCAGAATTTCAATAAATCTTACCTCGCTATATCAGTAGAAGTTAGGGGAAAGATCAGTTCTCATAAAGTAGAAAATACTTGTAGAATGGTAGTTCAAATGCCATATGAAGTTATGAAATTAAAATACTCAGTTGACGTAAAAATTTCTACGATTATATGATCCCAATAAAATTCAATACTACGGATACGTTGTAATCTGATTTTCTTAACAACCATTCTGAATTTTTTAACCTTTTACGACACTAAATCCTACATTGTCCTTATCAAAAGAAAGTATATTAACTTATAAAACTGACCATTAAATTAAACGTGCAGTTACTTACGATGTTTCATATGGAATCTTTCGATTGCGAAATTCGGTATCAAAACCTCCTGTATGTAAAACATCTTTGCTGATGCTCGTTTTCTTGGTTTCGACTTCAATTTCTTTAGCCAAGTACTTGCACACTAAGTAGTTGCAAATAATCCGGTTTAGAAACATGTCTTTCGTAAATTTATCACAACATTTCAAAATAATTATATGTACGAATATCTATACTCATTTTAACAAATAATACTTCGTATATTGATTTAACGCAATAGTACAGCATTAACAGATAAATTAACGTAACATATTAATAAAATAATTCCTTGCACATATCAAATACAGTAGTTATTGCTGGTAAAAGTAGGAATATTGTAATATAAGAAGTGATTAATTCTGGAGTGGAATATGATATTCAGCACTATGACGGATATTACTTTATAATCGAAATTTACTATTAGCGTACATATTACAGAAGAATGGCTTGCTATTGCATGATATGGAAGTATAGTAATGCTGGATTCTCTCTATCAGTTTTTGCCTCCAAATATCATCAGCTATTGGTACTCTAGGAGGCACACGCAAATAAAGTAAGGTGATAAAATAAGTCAATAAAAATTGTAAGTGCAACATCTATTTCCAGCAACCTTTAGGACAGTTGTTACCTAAGGGATGATGAACTCCAGAATAGAAATATCTAGTATATTAGTGTGCAGAACATTTATTTCCCGTTAGCTTTCTAAACGAAATCGTAACTAGATTCTGTATCAATGTTCATTACTATGCGTCAAAAACTTTTAGCATCGATCTCGAAGAAATGTAGGCTTCATTAACGACTGCTCAAATAGGTCTAAATTGTAAGCAAAACAATCTGTTCTTTCACTGAGTATATTTCGTATTCGTTAGTTAATTTCATGTCTTGCTTGTCATTGTTGTCCACCAATACTATATATATGATATCACGTATATAACATATATGATACAAGATACTGTCTATATCTTACGCTGTACGCAATCGGCTATAGTAATTAATTGATTACCGTAAACTAGTATTATTCAACTTAAAGTACAATGCAGTAATGGCTGCCTTTAACATGTTTTCAAATAATTATGTCTACTTAATAACAAGCTTGGTCCAGGAGATATTTGGTATGTATTTGTACACGGAACAAAACCAGCTCCAAACTTATAATGATGTGGAAGGAGAATTGCTTAGCATTCACGATTCGATACATTGGTATTATAACTAAGTCAATGAAGGAATCATTTACGATCAACATTATTAATTTATTACCGAGAACAATCTACGCCACAGAGCAGTATGCTGCTTTTAAAGTAGAAGAATTGTTATGTGTGCATAGCATTAGAAGGAAACATGAATAGTTAAAGTTAAAAGCAGTATCACTAACAAAGAAGGTACAGATGGATATTTGATTCTCGAACGGAAGATAGGAAGACGTATTATTAGCAGGAGTGCAAGTTTTTTGATATGCTGAATGTTTGGGCAGCATTACTATCGAGTTATTAAAATGTAATGGTAATTGTGTAAAAGTTAGCCTGAAATGAAAGGTTTTCTTTATCGTACTACTACACTGGAGTTTTGCTGTACATGTACATATCAATTTAGAGAAAGGATAATGTTGTTGTAGAGCAGTATTTGAAATTATAAAAAAACGAACAATTGATTGAATTAAAAGAGTAGACAAATGGAAAGTTTTACTTCATTTTAAAAACAGCGTACTGCACTGGATTTAAAAGAAGTAAAAAATGATAAATTATTGTCGTATTTTCTGTAAGAGTATGCGTTCATTTGAATTGAAAGCAATTATTCATTGGCAATCGGATTGAGCAGCAAATTTTTATTTTTGCGATATTTTGTTAATCCAGCCTGCATGTACATGTTATACAATCGTATATTACAACCCTTTCAGTTTTGAACATCAGATTATCTTTACCTAAATTTGTCAATGTAAAATCACGATACGGGGAAATCTTTGGAATGTAATGCATAGTTTTGATTCATGCAAGATATTTCAGTCAACTCGGGTATACAGCTGATATCACTATTTTCGTGATTGAGATTAGGAGCAGAAAGGGGTTTGATAAAAGACTGCAATAAGTCTATGATGGTAGATATTACTTGATAACGTCAATTTACGAATGAGCGGTAATACTCGAATAATAACATGGTTTAAAAAAATCAATCGTCAGCGAGAAATGAAACTCTTATACATCACTAAAAGGGCAATCGATTCACTATCAAATTGCAGACATGGTATGAAAGAATAACAATAAAGAGGATGATTTTAAATATTCGTACTTCTAATAGCGGTAAACGTGATCTACGCAGAAAGATTACTGTTCTTTCACGAACTGTCGTAGCAATGTAGGGCAAAAAGGGTTAGAGAACGTTCGTCTAGTAAAGTCATCTAGTGAACTTAGGATTGTTAAGAGTAGTTGGCAGGCTAAAGGGGGGGGGGAGAGATACATTAGAGAATTCTCTATTGACAGTGGTTATAAATCCTTTTGCACTTTGCATGAAGTTTAAGAGAGATAACGCCGCATCAGATGTTTACTTGACTTCTCCGGAACAGTTTCCTTGCTTACATGGTCGTGTTCACATTAGGTAATATAGAGTAAATTGTCTAATAGTAATGATTAAGCATGTAGGCAGCTAGAAATTCTAGCTTGAAATACTTCAAACCCTGTTTACTCCGGATCGAAATCGCTTATGTACCGTGGTCGAGGTATAGAATGAAACCAACTGATTTTAGATCCCGTAGCATGAAAGTCCACTATTCACTAAAACGACACATATGCTCGCTTTATCGAGATCGGCTTTTCTCCTTCTTTGATAATGTTGATACTACATAGATCATCTTTGTTCATTGAACATAGTATCAGTTGGTAAAATTGGTAAATAATCGGTACGTCAACAAACTTTAAAATATTTGGTTACTGTCTCAGTGTTGGGCTACAGCATTTGATACTACGATTACTTTCGATATCGGTATTTAAAGTGATTTCAATCGGATCTACTTTGATGACGCTAATCTTATTACTGAAGTGCCTGCCAGTTTCCAAGGGTTTTTTTTTACCTGGCTCTATCGGCGATGATTTCAATCCTTGTGTAACAGACACTATTCTGTTATTACTGTGTTTAAATATCCAATCTTGACTTTGGACATTGTAGCAAATGATATAATAATTATCGCCAATACTTGTATCTACAGTAGGCAATCGAAGCGGACTATTGATGAAAGAGTGGTACCGTAAGATCAGACAGAATATTAGATCAAAAAGAGTTTGTTTTTAACCCATTATACAACAAAATAAGAGCCAAAGTCAATTCAGATACGCTACAATAGGGCAAAGTGGCAGAAAAAAGCAGCAAGGTGGACATCGAATGATGGATGTAGTCTTTATCGATTCGAATTGGTCGTTGGTTAAGGGAGATTAAGCATGCTGCGGCGGCAACAAGAACAATAAATAGTACCGATAGGCCAAATTCTGATAGCAATAACATAAAATCTTCGATAAAGATAACTAAGGTGATTGTAATCTGCTGTTCTGTTGCAGTTGACTAAAAAGAGAAACAAGATTGACTTACAACATACCTTGGCATCGTGATGTTTCTTGTTCCGGAGCAAAAGAGAAAACAAACTGGCAGTACAGTGACAAGACTACTGCTAGCAAAGGATACTCGATCTTGACCATATCGTTTCTCCTCCTCAATAGATACTGTTATTACTACTTGGAACCGATAATCAATCCTGTTAATTCGTTTACTCCTGCCGATTACGAACAATCTGCAATATTAGGTGAGATCGACGACAGTCTATTCTACTGTATCGAAGAATCGTTTCAACACCTCGCTACTTCAAGATGACTAAACTAAGTGGAATAATGAATGGAGTAACTACCTATCCAGCAGCTTCTTTTATCAACGACTTCTTGCTTATCGTCTCTTGTTTATTCAAGGGGCGATCGGGGCTTGCTATGGCCCGATAATAGAGTATTGTATCCGTTTATATCATTTTTTTCTGATGGATACAAACTATTGACCCTTGTAGGAAAGCATACCATTTCCTATATTTTAATTAGTGTTTTACGCACTCGATCGATGGAGAATTAGCCACCATCATCAGGTACTGTAAACATAACGTTGATTCTCTATGACTGGCTATTGACAACCTATTGTGCGGTACTTGGCGATTGGCTGATTGTCTCTTTCAATTTATAGACGGAAGCACAAGAGAGAATAATAATAAAAAAATAATTTTATTTTACAGCCTTGTTTTGAGATTGTAGAGGGAGATGAGCAATTATTGCGAACCTATAGAAAGTTGCCACATTCTCAGTAGGAATGTGTACTACTTTGCCAGTCCATATTGGAAATTGGGACAGACTACTACGATCGCCATGGACGCCATCCCGAGTCTGCAGTCTGTACTGGCAGTCGCGGCAGATGGAGCTTTCAAGTAGCCAATAGAAAATCGCCACATCCAATCGTTAATGACCGTCATTAATATTATTAATTAAATGAATTATGGATAGAAGTTGATGGAGAACAATAGTTCAGCTTGAGCAGGAATAAGTAGAACATGGTAGAGTACAAGACCACAGATCGATATTTTCCATCCGTTTTGGTGTGGAATTGTGTTAATTGGTAAGCGATTGCTTTCTCTACTTATTTGAATTCAATGGACGCTGTGACGAGAGCATGTTGCATTGTAAAGAGAATAAAGGGGAAAAGAAAAATCGAGAAAACCAAAGCTGCTAATGACTATCACAATATATTAATATTAACACTGTAGAATGCAAGTGGAACACGAAGATAAAAACACTTGGCATTCTTCCGCAGCTTGATAAAAGTTGTATTGCTGTTCGTGAAAAGGAATTCATACGCAAGACAAAGATGTTAAATACAGTCCATTCTTGTTATACTATAGGCATAGTATATTGCTATTTTAAATACGTGATATAATTTGCAACGATGAGAGACATTAAATGATTTGGTTTACCGTGCATGATAGCCGTCGATGAAGTGCTAAATTGCAAAAATAGGTGCAAGAATTGCACGTACAGTATGACTAATAGCTTACGATTGGTAGGATTAATTTCAACATCGATAGGATTCATAAAATAGAGGCATGTTGACCATCGATTTAAAGACT